CTGGAGCTGCAGGAACTGCTGCTGGACTACAGCTTCCAGCACCTGGGCGTCTCCTCGCAGGTGAGGGCAGGCTGGGCGGGGCGGGCGGCACCCCAGGCAGTGCTTTTACCAAACACTCCACCCGTGTCTGCCCTGGGCTAGGAGTTAAGGGTGTTAAGGGTACACCGGGGCCGGAACCACGGTGTCTTTACAGTGAGTGGACTGTCATGGAAACAAGGGACCAGTTAGACCTTTGCAACAGTCTAGTGAGAGATGAGTTGACAAGAACCAGTCCGGTCCTGGAAGTATTTTGAAGATAGAGCTCACATGATTTATTAACAGTTTGGCCAAAGCTTGACTTATAAAAAGCTTGAATTGAGCCGGAAATGGTGGCGCACGCCTTTAATCCCAGCTCTCCCGAGGCAGAGGCAGGCGGATCGCTGTGAGTTCAAGGACAGTCAGGGCGGTTACACAAACACACCCATCTCAAGAAATTAACAAATAAAAACTCCCAAACAAAAAACTTAAGTTGACCATACATTAGTGCTTTCCAAAATTGAAATGTATGCTTTATAATTGCTTTGATCACCTTTTTAAAGATTTGTTCCAAAATTGTCTGTGCGAGTGTATTTGTGTACAGTGTGTAGGTGCTTTAGGCCTTGGATCTTCTGCAGCTGGGGTCGTGTGGTTCCGAGTGGTCCTGATGAGAAGGTGTTGGGCAAACAAACTTGGGTCCAGTGCTAATCGTCTCTCCAGCCGCCCCCCCCCCCATTAGGTTTTTAATTAGTGATACAAAGCAATTCAGACTCTCAACAAGGATTTGGGTTTGTTTTTGCATTTCATACATATTCTGTAGTCATTCTTGTATTTGTACTTCTCTCAAAGTAGGGCTGTGTCGATCATCCCATAGTTTTGACAGAGGCCGTGTGCAACCCACTCTATTCCCGCCAAATGATGTCGGAGCTCCTGTTTGAATGCTATAGGATCCCCAAGGTTGCCTATGGGATAGATAGTCTCTTCAGCTTCTATCACAACATGCCCAAGAATGCCCTTTCCAGCGGCCTCATCATTTCATCCGGCTACCAGTGTACACACATTTTACCCGTCTTAGAAGGAAGGTGAGTTGTGCTTGTGGCATTTAAGGAGCACTGATTTAGGGCCCACTGAACCCGGAATGCCAAGGTATCTATTGGGAATGTCTAGCAAGTGCTAGATGATGGACTGAACTGGGCTTAGCTCAGACCTACATTAGTGTGTGACTTTGTAAGTTATTTTACCTGCCCTTTAGGACCTCCTGAAGGTAGTTCAAGTGGATCCCATGTCTACTTGACAGTTACATAATTTTATAATTCTGATTTATGAGGGAATAGTTAACATAGTACCTATCCATAATAGACATTTAATAAACATATTTTGAGTAAGTTATTTGAATATGTTTATTTCTTTCTTTAACCCGGCAGTAGTGGCACATGCCTTTAATCCTCACACTTGGGAGGCAGAGGCAGGTGGATCTCTGTGAGTTGAAAGCCAGCCTGGTCTACACAGTGAGTTGCAGGACAGCCAAGGCTACATAAACTCTGTGTCAAAAAAACAAATATCTGTGAGTGTGTGTTTGTGTGTGTGTGTGTGTGTGTGTGTGTGTACCTGAGAGTGCTGGGCAGGAACATGGAAGACAGAGGACAACGTAAGCACATTGTTTCTCTCCACCACGTGGGTCCCCAGGGATTGAGCTCAGAAGCCCTCAGCCTTTACAATCAGTACCTTTACCAGCGGAGCCATCTCTGTCTCTTGAAGACATTTAATTTAGACCACCTTGGTATTCTGGAGTCATTGTTATGTTTTTTTTTTTTTTTTTTTTTTTTTTGAGACATGGTTTCTCTGTTTACATTTGCTGTCCTGGCACTCGCTCTGTAGACCAGGCCATCCTTGAACTCATAGAGATCTGCCTGCCTCTGCCTCCTGAGTGCTGGGATTAAAAGCATTCATTAACATGCCCAGCTTCTGGAGTCATTTTTTAATTAAAAAATGCATTGTAAGATCTTTAACTATATTGTCCATACCTTTATTTTGGTTATACTGTCTAACACATACTAGGCAATTGTGGAAATTTTTAGAGTTGAATAAAAATAATAATAGAGTTGAATAATAGTTGGAATCTATTCCTATCTTAGAATTTAGTTTTATTTTCTCATGTGAGATGAGGCTATCATTATGCCCCTAAAGGTTTCCCACATTGCATAAAGAGGTGTGGTTAAATGAGCCCTGGTTCCAAAGCTAGATGCTTGGCTTTGTGGCTCTGCTAAAATGAGGTTCTCGCCCCCTCACTTGGCTGTGTGCATGTGCTTACCTATCTAATTGTGGAGGGACACAGTTCTCAGGAAGCTTATGAAATGCAGACTTTTAGACCCAGAGCCAGTAGCCCTTGGACTTGGCATGCTTGACCATTTTCCTGTTGTTTCTAGGCTACTTGACTCCAGGAACCCCCAACCCCGAGAAGCATGGCTGAGCCGCATGATAGTTTTGCTTTGGAATGTGTATTTACTCTGTTGAATGGCTTTTCTTTTCTTTTCTTTTTTTGGTGTTTTTTTCTGAGACAAGGTCTCTCTCTACGTAGTCCTGGCTGTCCTGGAACTCACTTTGTAGACTAGGCTGGGATTTACAAGAGATCTGCCTGCCTCTGCCTCCAAAGTTCTAGGATTAAAGGCATGCCCACCATGAGACTCTGAGACTGACCAGACGTTAAAGGGCCACATCTGGTTGTGCATAGGAATTCTGGCCTTTGGTAAAGGTTGCAGGGGAATCTTCCTGATGTGGGGTTTTAGGTGCCCAGACTCTCTGCTAGTCTGCTGCTTTGTCTGCATTCAATCCCCGTTATCCCCAAGATGTCCCACATCTCTCATGCTGGACAGACTTTCAGTGTTTTTCTGTACTACTTTGGTGTAGGCTAGATGCCAAAAACTGCAAACGCATCAATCTCGGAGGAAGTCAGGCGGCTGGCTACCTGCAGCGGCTTCTCCAGCTCAAGTATCCAGGGCACCTGGCAGCCATCACCCTCAGCCGCATGGAGGAGATCCTACAGGAGCACAGCTACATTGCGGAGGACTATGGGGCAGGTGATGCAGGGGACTACGGGGCAGGTGATGCGGGGGACTACGGGGCAGGTGATGCGGGGACCTTGCTCCAGTTTTCAATTGTTAGCCTCCCAGGTTCTTCACATTGTTCCCAGTGTGACCCTTGTTTGCTCAGCATCCCTCTCCCCTTTTGGTGTTCTCTTTGTGAGATGAGTCAGTTAAGTAATTGTCCTAATCAGGTTTCCCTCACATATCATAGCTTTTATAACGTGCCTCCAGGATAACTTGCAACTTGTTTTAAAAGCTAACATTTTTGAGAGAGGGAGCACAGTGTGCCAGTTTAAAAAGTTTGAGACAGCTGGGTGTGGTGGCATACACCTTTAATCCCAGTACTCAGGAGGTAGAGGCAAGTAGATCTCTGAGTTCAAAGCCAGCCTTGTCTACAGAGTGAATTCCATGACAGCCAGGGCTACACAGAAACTTAATGTCTTGACAAAACAAAAACAAAAGTCTGAGGCCAATTGAAATTGTTTTTCCTAACATCCTAAGAGTGATGTCAGAATACCTGTCAGGTTTCAACATATCTCCAACTTTTATTTTTGAGGCAGTGTCCTTATATAGCCCAGGCTGGCCACTACTTGAGTGTAGCCTCAAAACCTTGATGTTTCTGCCTTGGCCTCTAAGCACCTTGAACTTCTGATTGTACTTTACTTCTGATGTATTTTTTTGTTACTATTGCTTATTACACAGATGTAATAATGTTTTCCTTACAAATATAAATGATCCAGATAAAATCCAAGCATGTTGGTTAGTAACACTATTAAGGCAGCTCTTTCCCATAGAACATGACTGGCTTTTCTTGTGGTCATTAAAGGTACTGGCCTTCAGGCAACCACAGCTGAGCTTTGGAAAGACAATGCCTTTACTTGGTTTTTATTCTTTGACTAGAAAGCTCATTTAGTATATTCTAAGGACAGAGTGCTAAAAGGTTACAAGAGTACTGCCTGCACCCAGATGTGACATCTTTGAAAAAAACAAAAAAACCTCCTGTGAGATGGCTGATTGGGTAAATGTGCTTGCTTCAAGAACCTACAAGGTGGAAAGAGGGAACCAATTTTAGCAAGCAAGTTGACTTCTGACCTCCCATGTGTACACACATACACATATACACACAGATGTTAAAAAAAAAAAAAAAAAAAAAAAAAGACTGAGGCTGGGCTGTTGCTCAGTTGTAGAGTACTTGCTCTCCTAGAGTTTGTCCCTAGCTTAGAATGAAGCAGACTCATGATTCCAGCACACTTGGAGGTAGAGGTAGGAGATCAGATATGCAAGGCCATCTCTGCCTCCAGTGATTTGAGGCCAGCATAGACTATATGAGACCCTGTTTCAAAAGAAACAAACCTGGAGGGCACAGAGATGGCACAGAGCCCTTGCTGCTCTTGCAGAGGACCTGGGTTCTGTTTGGAGCACCCACACAGTGGCTCATTACCACCTCTGATTCCAGTTCCAGGGGATTTGCTGCCTTCCTGTGGCCTCCATGGACATCAGGCATGTGCAGTGTACTTAACATACAACTAGGCAAAGATAAAAAAAAAAAAAAACAAGCACATGCAAGTACCCTAATTGTGGTAAAAACCATAGAACATAAAATTTGCTGCCTGCCTTTCTTTCTTTCTTCCTTCCTTCCTTCCTTCCTTCCCTCCTTCCTTCCTTCCCTCCTTCCTTCCTTCCATTCTTTTAACCTTTTGGTTTTGGACAGTGTCCCCATGTAGGCCCATCTTGACATCAAACTCCTGGCTCTCCTGTCACAGCTTCCCAGTTCCATGGTTCAGCTATGACTTCAGAACACCTTTGTTTTAAGCACCTGTGGCTTATGAAGCACAAAGAAGTTGGGGAGATAGACATGGAAAGAAAGTTTGTGGGTTTCCTTCCTTGATATACTTGGATTAGCCTCTTGGTTTTTTTTTTTTTTTTTTTTCTCTTTTGTTTATGAGACAGGGTCTCTGTAACTATGCAATGCTGGCTCACAAATGTGTCACTGCAGATCCAGGGGATCTGGTGCCCTCTTGTGGCTCCCATGAACATTTCATGCATGTGGTGCACAGACATGCAGACAAAATTATTCCTGCACATAAAGTAGCATTTAATTCTTTGAATTTCCCTTTTCAACATTGTTGCTGTATCTGCATGCCATGAATTTGATTCATTTACATTTTTATTGAGTTTAAAAATATTTTCTGATTTCTTCAAAACTGCTTCTTAAAGTGATTGTTTAGAAGTATGTTATAAGACACCTTTCTGTGGTTTATCTTTAGTTTAATTCCATTATGATGAAAGCTTTGTTTGATGTCAGCTAAACTTGTTTATTGTATGACCTCCATGTATTCATACTTGGCAGAGGTTCCTTACACACCTGAAGAGCATTTACTGTGCTCCATAGGTAGGGCATTCAGGTGACTTCCGGTGACGGTGGTCAACTCTGCTATAGCCTTGATAGCACCTTCCTCCCACTGGCTCTGATGATAATTGGGAAGAGTGTACTGATGTCATTAGGTGTAATTGTGCGCATCCCCGTTTCTCCTTTCAGTTCTGTCAGTTGCTTTGTTGTTGCTGGGTTTTTAAACTGAGGACCAGACTTTACAATGCCAGGCAAGCACTCTATTTCTGAGCTGTGTTCCCAGCCCAGACCTGTTAGTGTGTGCTGTTGGTTATCTCACTTTGTCTTGTTAGCTATATAATTTAACATTGTTGCATCTTCTTGTCTGTTGACCTTTTGTCTTTGTATGGTGTCCTGTCTCTTCTTATTCTGGCAGTTTATTTTTCTGCTTTGAAGGCCACTTGAACATTAAGAGTCACTCCACCAGGGCGTGGTGAGACACACTTTTAATCCCAGCATAGGGAGGCAGATGCAATGGATCTCTTGAGTTTGAGGCTAGCTTGGTTTATTAGTAAGTTCCAGGCTAGCCTGAGCTATATAGTGAGATCCTGTCTCTAAGTAATTAAATAAAACCAATTCAGCGTTCTTTCTTTCTTTTTTTTTTTTTTTTTAAAATTTTTTTTATTATGTATATAGTTATCTACATCCATGCTTACACCCCAGAAGAGGGCACCAGATCTCATTACAGATGGGTGTGAGCCACTATATGGTTGCTGGGAATTGACCTCGGGTCCTCTGGAAGAGCAGCCAGTGCTCTTAATCTCTGAGCCATCTCTCCAGCCCTCAGCTTTCTTTTTAATAGGGTTTATATGGTATATCTTTCCATTTATTTATTTAGCAACAGAGTTACATGTGCCCAGGTTTCATCAAAACTCCCTGAGTATCTGAGGGTAGCTTTGAACTCTTAATCCTCCTGCCTCTGCTTCTCAAGTGCTAGGCTTAGGAGCAGGCACCACCACTCCCTGCTGGTATCCCTTTAGCTCTGTTCTTTGTCAATGTAATTCAGATGAGCTTGTAGTGGTTGCGCTATGCTAAACATCTATTACCCTTTTGTTCTACCAGGGAGGGCATTCAGGCCTTGTGCTCCGAGGCAGCAGCCTATGGATACAAAGACCATTTGCAGTTAATATATTTGCGTTTGAATTTAGGACTACTATTTTATTTTTTTCTCTTTCTCTCTGCCTTTTAGGTTATTGGATTTCTATTTTATTTTATTTTTGAGGCAGGGTCTCACTGTGCAGCTCTGCCTGGCCTGGAGCTCCTTATATGGCCCAAGCTTGCTTTGAATTGAGAGATCCTTGAACCAAAAGGTGGAATTAAAGGTGTGTGTCACCACGCTAGGCTAGACTGTATTTTTTAGGTGGTAACTCTAGAGAATAGAGCAGAGTGTAACTTTTCCTCATCTATGTAGAGTCAGTATTGATCATGTCTGGGTAGCAGTGTTAGCAGTACACTTCTTTATGCTTTATGCCAAAATGTCTTACATGCTAAACCTGTGAACTGTGGGAGCCTATCAGACCTCAATGTTTTTATTATTTTTAGTTTAAGTTATCGAACATATTTTAAGTGACTCATGAGGCACTTAGCTTCATGTGTTTAACAGATTTTCCTCATGCTGGCTGTTCCAGCTTCCTCCTTGTGTGATTTCCATCTGGAGACCCTCAGAGCAGTCTGCATAGGCCCAGGTTTTATGGCTACATTTAGTGTTTATTTGGAGTCAGAGGTTCTGAATGTGCTCGGTGTCACTTGTTCGTGGCGTCAGTTTTCTGTTTCATTGCTGACAAGGCTTTCACTCTCTGAAGTCTCCCAACCATTTCTTTGAAGAATTGCAGAAGTGGCGGTGCCCTGATTACTATGAGAACAATGTCCACAAGATGCAGCTCCCATTCTCTAACAAGCTCCTGGGTAGCACACTGACGGCTGAGGAGAAGCAGGAGCGGCGGCAGCAGCAGCTGCGACGACTTCAGGAGCTCAACGCCCGGCGGCGGGAGGAGAAGCTACAGCTGGATCAGGAGCGCCTGGAGCGGCTGCTCTATGTGCAGGTGATGCAACAGGGCCCTGGCCTGGCTCTGCAAGGTGACCCTCTCTTCCTCTCTGGTTTCCTGGACCATAATTGCATTGGCCGTCAAGTCATCTTTGGAGTTGGAGTTCAGAGACGGGAGTCATGGAGATGACCAGCATGCACAGTGGCAGGCGTCTGTACAGAGCTGTGGACTCCAGCTCTACTTGATGGGTTATTTTGTTCTTTTGAACTTTTCTATGTAAGTGCAGCATGCGTGGTACACAGGTCTTAGGGTGGGCGTCTCAGTGAGTTTCACAAAGTGATACATGCACATGTCCCAGCATTACCATTATCTCCTCTCAGTGGCTCCTTCCCACTCAGAGGTGGTTGCATCTGTGATGGCTGTCACCACAGATTAGTTTTCACTAATTACATGGTGCTGAAACCAGTATCCAGTCTGCAGAGCTAGCCAGCCCAGACAGTTGGAGAGGAGGGCAGGTATGAGCCCATGGTGGAAACTGGAGGGGTGATTCTACTGGGGACTGGCTAGGGAGCCCCAGAAACAACACACCTCACTCCCCACCCCACCCATCTCTTCTGGCTTCTGAGCTACTTTCCCCAAGTTGATGACTGCCCTGTCTCTGGGAATAGATTGTGCCTGCTCTGGTTTCAGGAGCTCCTAGAGGATGGCCAGATGGACCAGTTTCACAAAGCCCTCATAGAGCTGAACATGGACTCCCCAGAAGAACTGCAGTCCTATATCCAGAAGCTCACCTTGGCTGTGGAGCAGGCCAAGCAGAAAATTCTTCAAGCGGAAGCCAACCTCGAAGTAGATGTAGTAGACAGCAAGCCAGAGGTGACTGGGGCCTGGGGAGGGAATCTCCTCGGGTCCTTAGGCTGGGACAAGTGCTTTTACTCTCCGAGTCAATTGTACCCTTAAACTTTCTCTTTTTGAGACAGGGTTTTCGTATAGCAGCCTAGGTTGACCTTGAACCCAGTATGTGGTCACAAATGACCATGAACTTCTGGTCCTCCTACTTCTGCCTCCCCAGTGCTGGGATTATAAGTGTGTGTACTATCACTATGTCCAGTTGATATGGTGCTAGGAATCGAATCTGGGGCTGTTTCATGAGTGTTAGACAAGCACTCTGTCAATCAAGCTACCACTCCAGCCATTAAGGCAGCTTGCATTAAACCCTTTATTATTGGTGTTTTTAGAAAGGTATGGTGCTGTGGAAAAGTCAGGGTCACTGCCATTTGATGCTGGGTATAGGGTAGTTGCTCCTCAGTGACATCACAGCTGTGTTTGAGTCAGGGTGGAGCTTGCTCTTATAGCACAGGCTCCCAGATGGAACTTCACCATAGCATCAACTCTCAGCCTTGTATTCCCTGCCCACTGACTGCTCTGCTCTAGAGCGGCCTTTTAAATCCTTTTCTGCTTATGACCCTGCTGAACCCAGAGAAATTTTTACATAACCCAGGTATATAGACACAGTTTTTCCATTTACTAAATGAAAGCAAAATTGCATGCTAATAAGAAGGATGTATTTATTTCTTAAGAATTACATTCTTGCTGAGTGTTGATACTGTAGGATTTAGGGTATCTTCAGTAGTTCTGTTGATCAGTGTTTTAACTTTATAGTGGTCAATGTTGATAACACTACTTTGCATAAGTATGGGACTAGGTGGCCTGCTCTGGATACTACAATCTAGGGAAGAAGGGATCTCAGCTGCCCTCACTGTCACCAGGCACCCCAGACCAACTTCCATGGAGCCACTGGGCATTTTCATTTGCTTTTCCAGGCTTCATGCTATGTTCAGATTAGAGCTGGCTTTCTGGAACTTAAAACCGTGTTGTCTGTTATGTATTTATCCATTAACATGTTAGTAAGACATGAAAGTACCTCAGGGTCAGATGCAGGCAAGGGGTTTTAAATGCAAAGGGAATACAAGCAGCTGAAAATGGGATCCTGGGCAGTTGGGGACCTGCTTCCCTTTATTTCTTTTCCTGAAGATTTTTATAGACTGTGCTTTCAGCATTCCTCCATCTTGTCATGGTACTCCTATACCTTGTCTGTGCTCTGGGGACATACAACAGATCTTTGTAGGACCGGGGAGCTTGTTTTAGGGGCCTGGGGAGATGGCATTGGTCCTGCAAACATGAGGACTGAGTTTGGATCCCCAGTACTCAGGCTGGGTACAGTGGAGTGTGCCTGTAATCCTAGCCATAATGCGGCAAAGACAGGAGGATCCCCAGAGCTCCTGGCCAGCCAGTCTAGCCAAACCACGGGGCATCAGGTTCAGGGAAAGGCTGCCAAAAACTATGGTGAATGGCTGGAGAGATGGGTCAGCTGCTAAGAGCATGTACTGCTCTTTCAGAGGATGAGTTTAGTGTTCACTGTCTACATTGGATGACTCATAACCACCAGTATCTTCAGCTCCCGGAAATCTGATGCCTCTGTGATCCTTGGGCACCTGCACACACATGCACACAGCCTCACACATACATACATACATACATACATACATACATACATACATACATACATACATACATACATACATACATACAACATTTTCTTAAAAAGTAAGATGGAGAGCAATAGAAGAAGACATCAGACTTCACTCTCTCACTGGGCACACATGTGTACAGTGACCTGCGCACATATGCACACACACACACACACACACACACACACACACACACACTGCTCTCTAGCAAATTTGATGTATAAAGTGGGTCTTTCTTTGGAATGCCAGCTCCTGAGTAATGACATGGAGACTTTTTATTATGAAAGCTTGGTCTTAGCTTAGGCTTGTCCCCAACTAGCTTTTAAAATTTAAGTTAGCCTGTTTATGTTAATCTACATTCTGCTGTGTGGCTTGTTACCTCTCAGTACCGTATGTCCAACCTCCTCCAAGTTTCGCTGGCAAATCCCTTGCCTCCCAGAGTCTTCCCAGAGTTCCTATCTGTACCTGGAAGTCCTGCCTATCCTCTTCTGCCTAGCTATTGGCTGTTTAGCTCTTTATTAAACCAATCAGAAGCTGCCCTAGGCAAATGAGGTGAAGCAGACACATCTTTATTTACAGTGTATCTTTACAGGTTATCCCACAGCAGCTGCACCAATCTGCCACCACATCTCTTAGCTGTCAGTCTGCATTGCTGGAGAGTAGCGTGAGTTACAGTTCTCCTTCTGGGGATGCGTTTGGCCATGGCATTGGCTCACCTGTTCTACCTTTTAGTATTTCCCACCAATGTAATTCAGTTATAATGAAGTGAATAGTTGTGGGCACTCCAGAATGTATATTGAAACCCAACTATGGATTAAAGGGAGGTTCAACCAGTATTCGCTAGTGTCCATTTTTCTCCTACAGATCAACCCATTGTGGTCCCTGAAATGCTGAATTATTCTCATGATAATGCTGCAAGGACTACACACACACACACACACATTCTCTCTCTCTTTTCTTGAGACAGGGTCTCACTCTGCAGCTATGGCTGTTTTGGAATTCACTCTGTAGACCAGGCTGACCTCAAACTTCATCTGCCTCTACCTCCCAAATGATGGGATTAACACACCTGACCTTATTTGTTTTTAAGTTGTGTGTGTGAGTGCGTGTGCTATAGCACACAAACGTGAAGGTCAGCGGACAATTTCTGAGAGTTAATTCTCTCCTTCCCCCTTATGGGTTTCGGGGATTGAACTCCGGTTGTCAGTTTTGTGGCAAGCTTGGTTAACCTCTGAGCCATTTTGCTGGGCATCTTTTAGTGTTAACTTGTGTGTGTGTGTGTGTGTGTGTGTGTGTGTGTGTGTGTGTGTGTGTGAGACCCCGTCCCTGTTCCCATGTCCATACGTCCTGTGTGAACTGCTTTGAAGGGTGTTTAGTTTTTGGACAGGTGTTTGGAACACTGGGTGAGACCCTGTCCATTTCCAGGATGGAATCAGAGCTGAGATTTGCTGACGAGCAGTTTCTCTGCTGTTTTGATTAGTGCTTTGTTCTGTCCTCAGACTCCTGACCTGGAACAACTGGAGCCCTCCCTGGAGGATGTGGAGAGTATCAATGATTTCGAGCCCTTGTTCTCAGAGGAAGCGCCTGAAGTGGAGAAGCCAGTCACCACAGTCCAGGTTTGACTACTGCTGCCAAGACCACACTTAGGTTTTAAAGCCAGTGGCATAAGGGACTGGCCGAGTTGTGCTTCTCGGAGGGTACCAGTGCTCTCATTGTCAGTCAGAGGCTTTCCCTGGTGGTTGTTTGAGGGGCCAGGGCCACCCCGAATGTGAGCGGCTGGTAACAGAGGTATCTGCCTAGTGACTGAGGTCTCCAGACTTACAGACTGGCTCTCAGTGATGTCCTTTACATTTCAGCCAATGTCATCATCCTTACTAGGGTCTGTGCATCTTGTCATGATGGTGGCAGCAAGATAAACTGGCTGGCTGTACCTGAGCCTTTGGTAGGAGGAGGTGCTAAACCAGCATGGGTAGAGACAGGATCTTCCCCCTGGGCCTCTTCACTGCTGCTCTCTAGAGTCCCCTCCTGCAACTTGGGCATGTCACAGTGTATAGGGATTTGTCATTCTGGGGTTGAGCAAAGGTAGGAGGCATTGTCTTGTAGTGAAGAGAGTTGGAGTGGTGGTGGCGGCGACATGTTTCTAACCTGGACAGGGAAGCTGGGCTAGAGGAGATGTGATTTCAGAGAACTGATAGCTGAGGGAATTGTCATTTATGGCCTAAAAACATCTTTTAAACCTTGGGTTTGAAGCCCGTGTTTAACTTGGCAGCGTATCATCAGCTGTTTGTTGGGACAGAAAGGATTCGTGCCCCGGAGATTATTTTCCAGCCGTCTCTCATAGGAGAGGAGCAGGCAGGGATTGCAGAGACTCTTCATTACGTCCTGGACAGGTGAGTGAGTGATGCCCCATCCTCACCTGAGCCTCTTCCTGGGTTTTGCATGGGAAAGGTGTCTGATGGGCGTGGGGAGGTCTGCAGTGCTCTCCGTTGCTGGCCTTGCTCAGGTAGTATGCTCTCTGACCTAGGCCTGCAGGAAGGGCAGGCACCAGTGAGCTCATTCGTCTATGAGCTCTGCAAACTTAACCTTGGAGTCTGAGCAACAGAGGCAGTACGCCCCAGCTTCATGTGAAACTTGACATATCAGTGATGTTTTACTTATAGATTCATTGAGATAGGGTCTCCTTATGTACTCAGTGGCCTCTGAGTGTCCAGAGTAGCTGGGATCATAAGAGTGCACTACCATACCCAGTAACACTAGGGACTTTTTAATTTAATTTTTAATTAGGGGGGGGTTATGTGTACATGAGTGCAGGGACCTCTTGGGTCCCCTGCAAAAGCAGTGTGTATTCTTGGAAAAATGTATGTGTGTATTTTGCCTGTATGTATGTATGTATGCATGTATGTATGCATGCATGCATGCATGCATGCATGTATGTATGTATGTATGTATGTAGACTGTGCATGTGCCTAATGCCTTGGAAGTTAGAAGAAGGCATTGGATCCCCTGGAACCAGAGCTACAAGGGTTGTGATCTACCATGTAGGTGCTAGGAATTGATCCCAGGTCCTCTGGAAGAACAGCCAGTGTGCATGTGATGTACTCTTAACATTTCTTCAGCCCTAAGACTAGTGGGTTTTTTTCTTTTTTCTTTTCTTTTTGTTTTGTGTTTTCAAGACAGGATTTCTCTGTGTAGCCCTGGCAGTCCTGCAACTCAATCTCAGGTTGGCCTCACACTCAGAGATCTATCTGGCCCTTCCTTCCCGATGTTGGGATTAATGATATGTGCCACCACACCCAGCAAAACTAGTGATGTTTAAATTACTCCCCAAATATGCATTGCTCTTGAAAGACCTCCCGATTCTTGTATGCATGTGCTTATAGAGAGCTTCCATATCTATCAAATGTGCCTGCCGCTCATGCAGGGTTGCCCTCAGTGAGTGCTCCTTACTCCAGTTGGGCGAGGGAGTGTTGCTTTTGATTATGATAGGATGGGTATTGTGACTCCAAGCATGGCTGCCCCATACTTGGGCTTTCTCTGTTCTCTAAAGACATGTGCCTGCTGTCTGCAGCTAACTATCTCAGGAGGCATGACTCTCTCCCTCTCCTCCATCTACCTTCTCCAGGAAGGAAGCTGCTGGGCTACAGCTCGCCTGCCCTGTGCGGTTTTTGTTTTTGTTTTTTTTCTTTCCAACTTTAATAAAATGATCCTCAAGAATAAAAAAAAAAATAGTGTTACAAAAGCAGAAGCATTAAGAGAAAAGTGTTACAAAGGCAAAAACAGTCTGATTTTTGGACTGCAAATTGTAGAGCTGTGAATGAAAAACAAAACACTGGTTTTGTTTATCTTTCCATTTGTCAAGTAGACACAGATAAGTTGACTGTTGTACCAAGAGCTTGCCTTTCCTGATCTGTCTACAGCGTGTTCCAGCAGCCAAGTTGGAGTATCCTTTTTCTGTCTCCTAGGTACCCAAAGGCTGTTCAGGATACCCTGGTCCAGAACGTGTTCCTCACTGGTGGGAACGTGATGTATCCGGGCATGAAGGCCAGAATGGAGAAGGAGCTGCTAGAGATGAGGCCCTTTCAGTCCTCCTTCCAGGTACTGCCTACTCTTCCTGTCCACTGTTTGTGATTAGCATCCAGGCACTGACTGATGATTAGTGGTGACTGCCTGAAGGTGTGAGTGACCAGGATTCTTCAATTCTGTCACCCACTGCAGAGGTTCAGTGGCTGGCCTTGTCTTTAAGCCACATTCAGATGATACAGGAATCCTGCTTGCATATCGCTCTGTTCTTCTATTTAACTGACAGCATTGAGCACATACAGAAGTTTAAAGAGGGTCCTCAGATAAGAAGATTCTTACCAGCTGCAGGGAGAGCAGCCATAGTTTTCCCCAGGGAAGCACATGTTGTCTGATTGTTTACTTATCTCCAGGCAGAGTCTTGTTTTTCTGGGGTACCAGGAGAGTGCTTGGTTGCCTCTTCTCTGTATAACTGTTATTTGAGGTCATGGGGGAACAAGAAGGAGCCTGAGATGGGGAGTTATGTGATTAATTTACATTTTAGGAAGATAGTGTGAGGTCAGCCTGAACTAATGAATTCAAGTCTGCCTAAGTTGCATAGGCTCAGTCTCAAAAAGCAGAGAGAGAGGGAGAGAGAGAGAGAGAGAGAGAGAGAGAGAGAGGTTGATTTTCACTAGATTAGGAATGATGGACAGGCTTGGAGTGGGAAAATGAATTGTCCCAGGATGGGCTGAGCTTCCAAAGGAAGTGGTAGCTTTGGCTAAACACTCAGGGAAAAGGTAAGAGGTGTCATCAGAGGTACTCAGGGCTACCACTGCAAGAGGAGGTAGCACCAAGGATCAAGCCCTAAATAGCAGCCGTTAAGGGCACATCAAGGTGGAGTAGAGGAAAGAGGCAGCTGGAGGTGGGGGACAGCAGTGCTGACCCCATGGAGTGGCATTTCAGAGTGTGAACCTGTGTTTGACTGCGGAGGCAGGGTGGCTGGGGAAGACGATGTCGGGTAAAAGATTTTTGGAATGTTCAGAATCTCTAGCTTGACAATCCCAGAAGCCTCCCCTGATGACTGTTAGAGAACCGGTTGTAAGAGTGCTGCCTTTCATCCAACCCCCTCCCCCCCACCTACCACACACACGCGCACACACACACACACACACACACACACCACCTTCCTGCCTCACTCTTGTTGGGAGGGCAATGTGTATCACAACAGCAGCCCCTCAGTTCCAAGTTCACAGACTGGATACAGCAGTGGCTCAGGTCCAGTTGTTTTATACTTAATTTAAATCATTGATTTTCTAGGGCTAGCGTGGGGCTCAGTGTGGAGCATTTATCTGGATACCCGAGGCTCTGAGCTCAATCTTAAAAAGTATGCTTGTTTTATAGTATTTGTTATTTTTGTGGTGCAGCCCAGAGACACTTATGTGCTTGCTGTTCAGGCTCTCTGCCCGTCAGCTATGTCCCAGTTGTGTTTTCTCAAGTCATTTAAAGCATTACTAAGTATCAGACAATTTAAGTGAGCCAAAATAAAATAGAAATTAGAGGCTGGGAGGTGGTGGTACACATCTTTAATTCCAACACTCAGGAGGCAGAGGCAGGCAGATCTCTGTGAATTCGAGGTCAGCCTGGTCTACAGAGTGAGTGCCAGGACCAGAGAGCTGTTACACAGAGAAACCCTGTGGGAAAAAAAAAAAAAGAAAAGAAAAGAAAAGAAAAGAGAAAATAAATTGTGGTGACTGGAGAGATGTCTCAGTGCTTAAGAGAACTTTCTGCTCTTGTAGAGAACCTGGGTTTGATTCTTAGCACCCACGTAGCAGCTCACAACTATCTGTAGGTCAAGTTCCTGGGAATCCAGTGCCTCTCTTGGCCTCCATGGACATCAGACATGTACATGGTACAGACACACATGCAGTAAATCAATCTTTAACAAAGTCAAATTGTGGACTCAGTAGTTAGTGTGTGTGACCAACATTTTTTACGTGTCTATTTTCAGGACATGTTCTTGTCAAACCTCTTTTCCCTCCTTCCTCTCTCCCTCTTCTCCTTTCCTTCCTCCCCTCTCTTCTTTTTTTGAGATTGGGTCTTGCTTTTTGCCTGGGTTGGCATGGAGTTCATCATTCTTCGTCTCCCAGATGTCCCACTGGGCCAAGGCTGCAGGCGTGCATTTACGCTGCCTCTGCTGTCCACGGCCTGTGCCCACCCGTGCTGCTTCGTGTGGCCTCTGCTTTGTTTCCAAAAACTCCAGAGCCACCAGCCAAGTTTAGAGCTGTGGTTGGCAGAGGAAGTGGGATGGGAATAAGGTAAAGACCCGTTCAAAGCAAGGGCTTTGCTGTGACTGATTGGGTCAGGCTAGTTGAGGCCTCAGGTGACTCCAGCTTTGCTCTGCCTGTGAGCATTGGCAGTTTCATAGAATGCCTGGTCACCCTGTTCTGCTGTAGTTTCTCCCAAGTTCTCTTGCTGCCATGGCCATGGCTGCCCTGCCGCGGTGACCTACAGATCACCCCTCTCCTTGTGATAGTTTGTGCTTGTCAGCACCACAGAGCAGGGGCCTGGTGGCTGTTCCCTCTAACCTGGAATGGCATGCCTTAGTTGGGAAGCTGGGCCTGTGAATTGGTGCTTGTGCAACTGTGCTGTTCTGGGAAGTTGTGCATGTGGCTTAGCTGTGTCTGGAGAGTGCAGGGCTGTTCTGCACAGTAGAGGCACCACCCGGGGCCTTCTGTATGTGTGTGAGGATGCAGAACCTTCCTCCCTGGGCCTAGAGCTCTGGTAGGAGATACCTTTTCAGAGTGCATCTGCTTATTGTTCCAGGTTCAGCTTGCCTCAAACCCTGTGCTGGATGCCTGGTATGGCGCTCGTGACTGGGCCTTGGATCACCTAGAAGACAGTGGAGCCTGGGTCACCAGGAAGGACTATGAAGAGAAGGGGGGCGAGTACCTCAAGGAACATTGTGCCTCCAACACCTACGTCCCCATCCGCCTGCCTAAGCAGGCCTCACGTGCCTCAGAGACCCAGACTTCCGGGAGAGGATCCGGGGCCAGTGGAAGTGGAGCTGGTGAACAGGCCTAGCAGAGGGGACGGCTTCACTCATGACATCGGCAGTATTTGGGACAAAGACGGAGCCCCACGCTGCCCAGCTCCACCAGCTTTGTTTGGCTACTGACTAGATTTCTCCTGGGAGTGCAGCAGAGGACAGCAGGTGATCTGCCTCAGTGAAGGACAGAGTGGCCTCTGGCATGGAATACCACGGGCGAGCTGTGGCACTGCTTTCCTCAGCAGTGAGAGAAGACTGGTGGAGACTAGAAGTGGACAGGCACGAGGTGTTTCTCTTTGCACTTGGAAGCCTTCGTTTTCTAAAAATGCCCTGACGTTGTCGGTGTAGTGTTTATTCTTCTGCTTGTGTCTGGGTCCTGTGGCTGCCTAGGTGTTCAGATGGTGGCGGTAAAGTTGTAGACGAGGCCGCCACTGATTCTCAGGAGTAGAAAGAGCCCCCTGCCCCACCCTCACACCCGTCCTCTGCCTGGTGTGTGTCCTGAATGGACAGTGGTGCTTGTGGCCCAGCCTTTTAACTGTTTACTGGGAACTTACCCACACTGTGAGGCCTTATCAGAAATTTACTTTTTCTTCTGTTTTGTAGCTTTGTTGGTGCCATGCCCTCTGCATGCCCCTCTGCAGAACTGACGGAGGAGAGTTCATCCCAAGGACTTTCCATTTTGTTGAGTGCCACCTCCCCTGTTCCTTTACAGTATTGTCTTGAACTGTGGGTGCCGTCTTCCCTGTTTTGTTGCGTAGGACTCAGGCTCTCACTGTGCAGCTCAGACTGGTTTCAAACTCAGTCTTCCTGCCTCTGCCTTCCTGGGATGCACAACACACCCCACTAAACATCCTCTTTTATAGGTTCTTGGCAGGAATTTTCACTCTCAGACACACCCAAGAACTGAGCCGGGTAGCCCAGGCAGAGCTGCTAATGGCAGTGCAGAATCTGAATGTCTAGATCCAGGGAAGCTCAGCACGCGTCTGTGATGCACCCACCACACAACCTGTTTGCTCATTTCCCCCTGAATCTGTATCTCCAGTTCTCAGGGACTGAGAAACTGCAGACCAGAAGGGGCAGTGTGAGACTGGCAGGGGGCTTAGAAGACCCTGACAGCCAACCCATGAGTTGGCATTTCCTGTTAAGTCATTGGCTGTGCCTGGTGGGCCAAGGGCTGATGGGTTGGCAGAAAGAGTCTGGACCAACCTTCACAGCACCGTCCAGGGCAAGAGACGGGGCTAAGCAGTGGCCATCTCAGTCTTCTTCCTTCAGTCTGCAGTTTAAACAACCTGAGCAGCAGGGATAAGGTCACAAGACTGTCTTGGAGGTCGAGCGGGTGGTGAAGGGTCCTGGACAGGTGAGCGTGGCACATGGCACAGTGAAACCCAGGAAGCTGGATTGCTCAAGTTTTAGGTAGCCATGAACAAGGACAGGAGGAGGAGATCGGGAGCTGAGGGATGGGATGGGTCAAGGGACTAAGCCTCGAACTCTCCATGCCTGTGAAGCATGTCATGACCTTTTGACCTCCATATGGCCCTTAGAGAATCCTGCCCGGTCCCAGAGCTAGCCCGGAGTTTGCTACCTGTGATTTCCTAAGCCTTTCTTCACACGAGTGTTTACCATGTACTGTGGGCTTTAAGCCCTAGCTGGTCCCTTCTAAGCAGTGACATTTCCCCATATCTCATGTAGTGCAGAGGGTGGTAGGGCCTTGGTCTCCAGAGCTTCGAAAGAAGCAACATCTTGCTCTGTTCCCTTTCCCCTTGATAATTTGTTACAGCAGCTTTGGAAACAAGTACAGGAGACCAAGTGGGAAGCAGTTAAGAGGATGTAACTTAACTGTCATCCTGACTGTCCTAGGTACCCCATAAATGGAGCTTGGATCATGCGGTGTTATCTTGTAAGTGGCCTGTTTCACCTAGCATGATGCTATAATGTCCTTGGGTTCATGATGTCACAGATGACAAGGCACCCTGAGCAGCAGTTGTCTATAGTCTCTCTCTCTCTCTCTCTCTCTCTCTCTCTCTCTCTCTCTCTCTCTCTGTCCTCTCTCTGGAATGGTCTGTCAGTCATTGGCTGTTCCAGAACTCACTGTGTAGACTTGGATGGCTGGCCTCAATAGCTTGTGACAGTCCTGCCTCTGCTTCCAGGATGCTGGGATTATAGACGTGTGATGACATCACACCTGGCTGTAACTTGCTTTGTCCATGTGCTGGGCATCCAGGTCACCTCTGTGCTCAGCTGTTAAAAATACTCAAGGCTGCAGCCTGCCTTCCTTTGACCATGGGTGCTGGATCAGGTGGGAGCTGGACTTTTAATGTTTGAGGAACCTGTTTGCAGAACAGCAGCCATCTTTATATCCCACTAGAAGACTGGGGTTCTGGTTCTGCTTCCTCACCAATTCTTATTTCTTAGTTTTAGTTTTGTTTTATTTTTTATAGCAGCCAAACTAGCAGTATTGATTTGTGTTTTCTTGTTGGATGATGGAGTTGACATTTTTTTCTGATGCCTATTGGTCATTTGTGTGTCTTTAGGAAATGTCCTATCTGGACTTTGCTCCTGTTTGAATTGGATTGCTTGAGGCTTTCTTGTTGAGCTGTAGTCTTTGTCCTGTAGGCTACTGTCCCTGTTGACCACTTGGCAGCAGTTTTAAGCATGTGGCCTGTGCCTTTGTTGTCATATCTAAGAAATCATTGTAAAATCTGGTGTCCTAAAGGGTTTCCTTTTCCTTCCTCCCAGGAAGGAATGTGAGGTCTTCAGCCTCACATTTAGCCAGAAACCTCAGACTTACTGGAGAGTTCTCTTCTTGGGCTGTGTCTGGTTCCCATCAGCATGGCAGGAGGGAGGGCCACAGAATGCTTCCCACAGGCCTTTGCTCCAATACTCTCCCATGGTGGGATCTGCCGCTTTAGTACAAAGCAAGGAAAGAGACCAAGAATCCCTCTTGGCTCCCATATGTTCTACCTGCCACATCTCCAGAGATTCCCTGGACAGTACACACCATGTAGCCAGGTTTAATTTTGCAGAGTTCTGTTTCATCTCTACTTGGTTCTGCTTCTGTGTCCGTGGCTGGTAGGCTACTCTGCAATGACAGCCAGCATCCTTAACTTCCTACAGCCTGAATTCAGCTCATCCTATAGCACGTCACACACGTAAGGATGTGAAGCCCCTACCCCCGTCTGCTTGATGTTAACATGTTTATTGCTCTGTCTGTTCTAACCTCAGCATGAGTTAATACTTGCAGTCTCCTAGAAGAATTGAGAAAAGTGAGTCTTGCAATTTAAAGCATTAACCGACAGGAGAGTTGGGATGCTCTCATGTCCCTGGGAACATACAACAGATGTCTTCTTCCCCTCTAGCTGGTGTCTGCCTTAGAGAGAACCTTTTGGGATTCTTGTTTGCTTTCTTTTCCACTGCTGGGAATGAACCAAAGGCTTTGTGCCTGTAAGGCAAGTGCTCCACTGCTGAGCTGTGATATCAAGCCTGCCACCCTTGGAAGTGTTGAGGAAGTAGAGTGGCTCTTCTGGAAGCCACTTCCCCGCCTTGACCACCTAGTTCAGCAAGAGGCCTGAGTAGTCCAGCTGCCTGTGATGTTTTGGTGAACACCTGGCCAGGCTGGGGTTTTCTCTGTTTGTCAGTCACCCCAGCCTGGATGTCACCTGGCACTTGGTGGGGCTTGAGATCGGTGGACTTTTTGTAACCCAGACAAACTCCTGGGACCAAGCGTCAGTCCTGGTGGGTAGGGGCACTTTCCCTGCTCTTCACTGCTACCTTGGATGTTACAGCAGTGATTTGCCCTGGATTCATCACAAGTGGTGTGGCATCTGTGAGGCTGGCAGCGGGATCAGTAATACACATTCCTGATGGTCACTGATAGAACGTTGCAGGCTGAGGGTACAGCTCAGTAGTGGAGCTCTTGCCTAGTGTGCAAGAGGGCTTGGCTTCAGTCCATAGTCACAGAGATGAGAACAGAAGAGAACATCTGACTGAAGGCATCCTCAGACAGTTTGCAAAGTCTTGCTTCCTGCTCTTGACATCTTTCTCACAATCTGGCCCCCAAAGTAGGGACGTTACATTACTGCTGAACAACACTAGGACTTTAGGAGCATACCTGTCAGTCAATCCTAGCTCCTTCAGTGTGGGACTAGGCTAGTGAGCCAGCAGGTCCTCTGGTGCCACCTGGTGGCTTTCTGAGGAGACACAATGGCACGGATGCAACTGTGTAGGCTCTGAATTCAGAGCTGATTTTGGGAATGGACCAAAATTATTTGTAAAGTCATGGTGTACTCTGAAACCAAGGTGATGCTGCCTCAGACTCCAGGGGCTCTCAGGAGCTCCTACCGCATTCATCACCCACCCTATCCCTTGTTCTGTGGCAGGGTCTTGGTATGTAGCCCAGACTGGCTTCAGACCCTAGATCCTCTCACTGCAGCCTAAGTGCTGGGGTTAGTGGTGGTGGCACCACCATGCATGATTTGGAGAAGGGCTAAATTTGAAAGAGCTTCCCCAGAGTGTTGGGTGAGGAGCATGAGCACAGGTGTCTCCTGGGACAGGGAGTGTTCTGGCACTGAGCCGGAAGATTCTTCAAGGAGAACTTCAAGTAGGTGTGGTTGCTCGAGCTTGTGATCCCAGCTCTTGGGAAATGGAGGCCCAGGAAGGTAAGAGTTCAAGGACAGCCTCAACTATGGGAAGGTAAAAGACTAGAGTAAGAGACTAGACAAGACCCTGTCAGAAGGAAGAAAGAAGTAAAAACAAGATTCTGAATGGTCAAGTTGCTGCTTTCCTTTGGCAGTCTCAGCTCCCAGCCAATCCCTTTTGCTCTGCTTCCTGTGGGAGTCTTGCATGTGGCCTCCAGAAAACAGAGCCTACTGATTGGCAAGGGAGAGATGCTCCCCTTCTCCCAGCTTGAAAAAGCAGTGCTCCTGAGAGCATCTTGAAGCTGGTTCCAAGAGCCTGGTGTGACCAAGCTGTAAGTGGAGATGGCTCACAATCCAACTTTGTCCTTAGCTCCAGGGTGAGCTCTTATATGGAAAGACATGATTTTTATCTTGTTTTGAGTCTGTTTGAACTGCTATGTGAAAAAAATCCATATAACCCACCTGGGTTTCTGTGCCAACCACGTTCTGGTTGTTGTTTTTAGAGATCTTTGGGGCTGAGGCTGTGTATATTTCAGTAGAATGCTTGCCTAGCACGCTCAAAGCCCTGTGTTTGATCACCAGTGGTGTGGTTTCATAATCCCAGCACTTGGGAGGAGGAGGCAGGAGAATCATTCATGATACATAGTTTGAGGCCAGCCTGAGACTCCTTCATAAAAGGAAAACACCCACTTAAATTGTCACTGTGGCTTGGTTATGTGC